GGGTTAGGAGGAAGATGAGTACCCCTAACATCTTGGCTACATTCACCTTTTTTTTTTTTTTTTTTGCAATATGCAACTGGAAAGATGAGTCATTCTYATGACCTGCCTTTCTCTGTAAAACACCATAGTCTTTGGGTGCTGGGAGAGGTCTATGTTCTTGGCTATACACACCTGGAATGGAATTTCTGTCATACTGAGCCAGAAGCAGGGAAGGAGTGGTGGATATAATTCAAATGCTGCAGATTTATTACACATGACTGAGTTTTAGTAGACTTTTCTTGAATAAATATTCCTTCATTTTATGTATGCCCTTAGATCAATTCCAAGAAATTTCAACTTGTTGGTTTTTCAATAATTTTCGCTAGTTATAGTCATTTCACTGTGGATCAAGTCCACTAAGCCTGTCACTGTCATTCCAGAAGGGAGATTCCCAGTGTGTGTTTTATATATTGCTTTGATTTATTGATCCAACAATATAAAAGAATGTCCAATAATAAAAAATAATAATTTTTAAAAAGCAGCCTGAGATAACCTTATGAGTGTGGCCACAATCCTCTGTGGTGCTGAAGTGGAACAATGATCCACTGTGTCCAGAGAGGAGCTCCTGAGTACTCGTTAGAGCTGGATACTCTTGGGCTGCTGTGGGAGACAATTATTCAGAAAATTATGAATGTCAATCTACAGATTGATGGATGCCTAGATGGAAGCCAGTGTGGACAGATGACCATGGTTGACTCACGTTCACCAAAACCTTGGACTTAACCCATCCTTAGACCCCAGATGCTGCTGACTTAATTTTTCCCTCCAATCTGGCAGAACAGGGGATTGGTGGGGAAAAACTGAGTTGCAGAAAAATAATGACTTTCTTATGCACCTAAAACTACGGATTAGGACTTAAATCAATAAAAAGTATAGATCATTCCTGTGGTGACTATTGAAAGGAGGGAGCTGAGAGAATGAAAAGGGATAGGAGAGTGTTTGTTCCTCTCGAGAGCTTAGAACATGTTTAAATGTTCATAAAAGGGATTTGGTTCAGCAGGAAGGTTAAGGATACCAGGGAAAGGTTAGTTTGTTAGGTTTAGTGACTAAAATATGAAGCTACAGACATATCTGATAGCTTCTATTTTCTTGGCAAAGTAGGAGCAAAGATCATCTCCCAAGAGGATAGAGTCAGTTAAATGATTGAGTGTCGAATGTCTGAAGGTCAAGAACATGTGCAAAAAGAGTGAGCTGACAAATGAAAAGATTCAGATTGTTGGGCGGTGGGGGGCAGGGTCTGGCAAAGCTATGGATTTTAGCTGCAGACGGTACTAATTGATTGATACAACTTCATAGTTTTTCTCCAACTGTGCTTAGCTGCTCTGAGCAGGAATAGAGAAGATGGAATATTGGGATCATCATCCAAAGGGTTGAGAATATTCCAGAAAACAACTGCTCAGAAACTTTTCATATATTTAAAAGCATATATCTTGAGTCAGGCATAGTGGTGTACACTTATAATCCCAGTGACTCAAGAGGCTGAGGCAGGAGGATTGCAAGTTTGGGGCCAGCCTCAGCAATTTAGTGAGACCCTAAGCAACTTAGTGAGGCCTTGTGTCAAAATAAAAACTAAAAGGGCTGGGGATGTAGCTCAGTGGTTAAGCATCCCTGGGTTCAATCCCTGGTACAATAAAATAAAATAAAATGGCACACATCTTTTATAGCTATAGCTATTCTCCAAACTAAGCAAATCCTTTCTTTTAAATTTTATGATATCTATTTTTCCATCCTTTTGATAATTRTCTTTGTATTCCCTGTCTCTTTTCCAGATTTCCTACTAACTTTTACAAACAAGAGAGGCTCTAAGTGGTTAAGAGACCACTTCTTGCAACTATCTGCCAGGTACAAATATTACTTTTAGCACTTACTAGCTGTGTATTCTTAGGCAAATCACCTAACACCTCTGTGCCTCAACTTTCTCATCTGTAAAATGGGAGAAAGAATAATAATATCCTCTTCATAAATTTGCTCTAAATATTAAATTAACTAATGAACTATATAGAGTACTACTTGTGTCTATTATTATTGCAACCCAAATGAAATACTCAAACCAGAACAGAGTAAGACATAAGGGATTACATTCTGGAATATGCATCCCGATATTCTCTTTCCCCTTCTCCCACTAAGTTGTATAGTAATTGCACACTCACGGTAAACATGAGGAAAGAACTAAGACACATTTATTTGAGAATCATTCTCCTTCTTTTATTCAAGATATGAAACCATATTGGTTCCATGGGACTAGATTTATTGCTGACCTTTACCTGAATATCTTGTGCTTACAAATTCATCTCCTTTCTTTGACAACCTATTCTGAAAATGCTCTACCTCTTCTTTCCCACAAGTAAATTAAGAATCCTGATTAGGGATGATTCTCATAAAGCACTAAGCCCTCAGTTGGGCAGTAAGCAGTCCCCATGCTGGTACTGGGATTTCTGTCCCTTAGTAGCCTTGGCACCAAGGAAACTGACTTACATAGAGTAGCAAAAGAAACGGTAACTGATGATGATGATGGTAACATAAGTTCTCATCCTTGCTTTCCCCGCATGTAGCCTTTCAAGGAGGACCAGAAGTAGACAAGGGAACACAGTACTTTAAGGCCCAACCAGGACCGTAGTGAAATTCTAGTTCTGCCAATCAATAGTTGTATATCTTCAAATTAAAAAAATAAACACTCACAACATTGTAAATAGTTCAGTAACTGACTAGCAACATTCTCCCTATTGCCAACCAAGATTCTTGGAGCCACTAAGAGTGGTCTCACTCACAAGCCACTCCTTCCTTAAAACTCCCTTCTACTGAAAAAGGAGGGGGAATTAATTTTCTTCCTTGAAGTCCTTCATGCTAACCTTGGAATGTCCAATCTTAGATTTTCTCTTTACTAACCAGGAAGGTTTATTTCACATCACATTTGAGTTTGCTTGTCTTTTTCCTTTCTTCTCAGGCAAAACCCTACTTTACACCATGCCACCTCCTAAGGTCTCTCACTTTCTGTCTGCTCTTTGTTCATAATGGCTGAGTCCTCTCCTATATCATCTCTCCCTAAATCCCAGAAAATACTTCCATTTTCACACAATGCCAAAAATACCCCCTCCCCAGCCTTTAACAGGCAATACATGTTACATGTTAGCCCTGTACTATTAACGCTGTATTTTTTATAATAAGTAATGGAGAGATTATCTCATCTACTTTGTACTACATTGAGTGTAGCAAAATGTATGCAGATAATTTATATACTTTGGATTGTGATGATACCCAGAGAAGCAGGAAAAAAAATTAAAACATGTTTTGCTCTGACAGGAATCATGTATTTCCATCTTTGATTACAAAAGTCACACAAAGACTTAAATTCTAATAAACAACTTTAAATACAAGAAAAAATGCTGGCTATTTCATATTGAAATCTTCATAGAGAGCTGAAGACTTTTCATACCAGGTTCTTATTCAGTTAAGGCTGTGAAATATTGAAGAAAAGAGGAACAGGGTGGAGAGAAGGAAAGAGGGGAAAAAAACCAGAAAAACATCTTTTAAAATTCTGAGCAAATGATTCTGTGTACAGTGACATTCAATATAAGAAATTTCACATAGACAAATCCTAAATTGTGCTTTTGAATTATTGTAAAAAGCATCTCAATTCTCACATTTCTGAAAACATCTGCAATTTGCTTGAGGTACCTCTCCAACTTTACACCTTTGTTTTTAATGACCTCTTTCATATAATAGTCTCACACCTATTTTTCCTTTTGGTAAAGATAACAATATTTTAAACAGGTCATGTCTATAAAGCAGCAATCAGCTACTTGAAAAAAAAATATGCTCAACTTCCAAAATGTAGGAGAGCATGAACTTCTTGAAAGCTCTGTTGACTATTCCAACAATGTGGCCACTTCTCAAACTATTTTTAGAATTTCTCTTTGGAACTATCTTCAATTAGTTAAATGCCATATAGGAAAGCCAGTCTTGGTACTTAATAGCATCACTTACCCTGTTCAATCAATTTGACTTCAAATTACAGTTTGGGCGGGATCTAAAAAATCAAATTTAATGTCAAAAGACAAAAGGTTTTTCTACTATGAAAGTTATTATCTTTTTAAAATGTGAAAGCCTTCTGAAAATGGCATCCTAAAAGTTATCATCAAGGAGAGTAGCAGGTTAGAGTAAGGGTAAGCTTCCAAATTTCCCAAGACAGGTAATTGGGATGGGGGGTGGTGGTGGCAAGAAGGGTGGAAGGGAGAGTCATTTTTATGAATAATCTTGGAATTCTTTTTGAACAGTCAATTTCTTTATGCTATTTGCCCTTCAGATGGTTAAGTTTTATGTAGTAATTAACCAACTTTCAAAATCCAACTTTTCAGAATCCCCAAATGGTTTCAAAATAAGATCTGAATTTAAAATTTCCCACAAAGATTACAAGGATGGAAAGAAGTGCACCAATTTATGTAAGGATAAGAATTTTCTGCTAGCAAACCTAAGCACCCCTAAGCACCTAAGCATGGTCAGAGGTGCAAGTTCTAGAATCTAAAGATTTTCGTTCAATGCTGGTGATTTAGAGGGGCCTTCAAGCAGCTCTGAGGGTCTCCATTCAATCCTGAAACTATGYATTTAAACACATACTGGTTGCATTCAGTGATTTTTGCTTTGTTTCACAGTGTGATTCCTGTAATATGAGCTTTTCAGTAATTGTGAATTTTATTTGGGTCATTTTTTTTTTTGGCACTTAAGTTCACAATGCTTGGTTGTGTGGCTTAAGATTGTTTTAATTTTTGCATTTTACATTCCTTTTGGCACTTTCTGAAGAAGGGGACATTGTTTTTATRTTGTTTGGGGGAAAGTGGCAACCCGCCCCCTCTCTTTAGTTTTAAATGTTTGGCTTTATGAAATCCATGATTCTCCCTGGAATCTTGTATCATTAAATGAAGGGGTGGAAGTTTGCCTTCAAAAGCTGTCCATCCCAGCCCTTTTTAGAGGCTAGTATCTCCGGCTTCAGTTTTAGGCTGTTTGGCTATTGCTGTCACAGGTTCTGGTGGTCCCTCCCTGCAGAAAAGCACAACTGGGTTTTTGCGGGCCCACATGGCCATGTCACCTCCGGCCCCACTGGTGGTGTTGGAGGAGGACATCCTGCTGCAAACCCCTAGGCCGTTTCGAAGGCGATTACGGCTTCTGGCCTGCAGACCCTGGCCCTGGCTGGGTAGGAAAGCGTCCACATTTCTAGTCCGGTATCCCTCCTCGCGGTTGCGCCCTAGGAGCATGGAAATGTTGGGGTTGCGAATGGCATAGATGACAGGGTTGATAGCCCCATTGGCCCAGGTTAACCAGACAGCCACCACGTTGAGGAGAGAAGGGGCCTGCGTGGCCTGGGCCTGCCGGGTCGCGGCCAGCAGCACCAGGAAGCAGTAGGGGCCCCAGCAGCAGATGACGAAAACAATCATGATGAGCACGGTGGTGGCAGTGCGCACCTCGCTAAAGAAACGCAGCACACGCGCGTAGGTGGTCATTGGCCGCACGCGCACATCCGACAGGCGAACGGCCTTGCAGATGTGATAGTGGCAGAAGCACATGAGCAGGAAGGGCAGCAAGTAGCAGGCCACCACCAGCCCCACGCTGTAGGCCGCGCCCAGCTGCGCAGGGTCTGGAGAGGTCCGGTAAAGGCAGCCATGGAAGCTCTGCACTGAGGAGGGCTCCCGGGATCCCCCAAACAGTTCCCAGGGCAAGGAAAAGCCTAGAGCCACCAGCCAAGCGCCCGCCAGGAGCTGCAGGGCGCGGCGCCGGCCGATCTTCTCCCGGGGCGGCCGCACGATGGCGCAGTAGCGGTCCAGCGAAATGAGGGCCACGCTGAAAGTGGACACGATGCCGAAACACGAGCTGAAGAAGCGACTCGCTGCGCAGAAGACGCGCCAAGGCCCCGCGGCGACTTCGGGCGCAGAACCTCCGTGGGGAATGAAGAGGTCCAGGAAGGCAGCGGGCAGGCAGAGGAGCGCCGTGAGCAGATCCGACAGGGACAGCGACAAAATGAAGGCATTGGTGACGGTGCGAAGCTGCCGGTGCTTCACGATCACCCCCATCACCGCGCAGTTGCCCAGGCTAGATAGCAGGAAGATGAGCAGCAGGACGAGCGCCTGAGCTGCCACCGCTGCCCCGTGCGACAGCACCGGCGCCGCCTCCGGGCCCAGCGCCGGCCTCGCCGCCGCCGCCMCCCGCACCGCCCCCGCCGCCCCCGCCGCCCCGGGCCTGCCTCCGCCGCCGCCGCCACCTGGAGCGGCAACGCTGCCTCCCCCGCTGGCGTCGCTCTGGTTCCCCAGCGCCGCGGCCGCCGCGGTCGCCACGGTGCTGAAGGAGAGCACGGCCAATGTCGCCGCGGAGGAAGTCCCTCCAGGCGAGCCGGCCGCGGAGGGGGCGCCGGGATGTGGGACGCCCGGCCAGGCCATGMTCACTGGTGGGCGGGCCGGCGGCGGCCGCGGATGCTCCTCCATGGGGCCCCGCGGAGGCCGCGGATCTGTTCATCCCGCACCGGGGAGGCGGCCGCTGGGCCGGAGAGGTGGCTTGGGCCGGGGGAGCGGCCGCTGCGGGGAGTCAGGCTGGGCGGGAGGGGTGACGGTCGCCGGGGACCCGGCGGAGCCTTTGACGTGGGCTCCAGGCGTTGCCGTGGGAACCGCGTGTTTACGCAGGAGCGCGGGGCGGGACGCCAGCCCAGTACCCCAGAAAAGCCAGCCCCTGACACCCCGCCTTTCCCCGAGGTTACCTAGCCWTTGGTTTGAGCTTCAGAGTGCCAGCCAGGTCGGCCTCCTAGGGAAGGAGACCGGCCCCCATACGGTGGAACAGATTTATTCAAGGTTCAGTGTCATACCGTGGGTATGACTGCTTAGGGACAGAATATCAAATGAAGGAACCATAGGTGGAATGCTAGGGAGTAGTAAAAAACCAAGAAGCAGTTAAAGAGCACAAAGCCAGGCTGTGAGAGAGTTAATGAGGCTTATGTTTTTGTCTTCAGTAAAGAAGGGAAGGTAATGTCCCCAGGCTGTCCTCAGGAAAGTCATTTGTGCTCTTGAGGTCAGCCCTGTCCTTTATCTGAAAATAGGATTTTCATGTATTTCAGAGTTAAAATGGCTTACCAGATCAGGGGAACTCACCTGTGAAACCTGGGCCCAAACAAGTAATTAAAATAGATTTGCCAATGAATTTTACTGTTCACAGTGTAGCCCTCCTACTAAGCAGCATTAATATCACCTGAGGATTTGGTAGAACTGCTTCCCCCAGGCCTACTGGATGAGAATCTGCATTTTAAGATTCACAGGTGATTTATACACTTGCCAAAGTATGAGCAATGTTGTCTTAAGGATATTATGCAATTTGTAGCTTTTGAGAGTTTTGAGAAGGATGACCCAACTGGGGGACTTGAAGCAATGAGCAATGCAAGTTCATAGTGAAAGAGAGAGATGGACCTGGACTCATACAATGGCAGTGCTAGGTGGGTTTAATGGGGACTGGGTCTCAACCTAAAGGCCTTGGGAATCTCACTGAATGGCTCTGTGGGTGAGCTCAGCACCAAGTGGGTGAGGGGTTCCTAGTGTAATAAATATACTTGCCTGCAAGTAGCAAGCAGAAGCAGCCACCATGGATTACATAAACCATGTGGAGCCGGTTAAGTGTGACAATTAGGTCAAGTATAGCTTCCAAGTAGTAATGAAGCAGAAATCAGACTTAGAGTTGACTAGCAAATGGAAGGTGAGAAAAATGTACCCAGCGAGTGGAGAGTAAGAAATCTAAAGACTAGAATGCCAAGGCAAGGAGTGACAGCAAGCTAGAGGATGAGGAACAGCAAGCTAAAGTATGAGGTTCATTCTACCTGTGATAAGCACATTTAAGTACTTAAGGGAAGAAACCAGTGAAGGGAAGATCAGATATACTTTAGTTGGTGAGGTTAGACCCTTAGTGAGATATGATAGAGTAGTAGTGACCAATATTTAGAAGGTAGAATCAATAGGGCTTGGTGACTGGCCAGACAGGCAGAGGTGGGAGGTGATCTCCCTAGTGTTTCTGACCCCAAATGAGACAGGGCAAAATATAGAATAACAATTGTTTTATTGCAAGGGTTTGGCTCTGGTTTAGATTAGAATTTTGGAAGAGTTAAGTAATATCTATTTTTGAATGTTCAAGAAATACACCATCATTATTCAAGTACTGTATCTTGAAAAAGTTCTAACTGTCCTGTCTTAGAGATAAAAGAAGTATAGTAAGAAAATAATGGAGTCAGAAGTCCTAGATTCACAGCCTCTAGAATGACCTTTGGAGAGTTATTTTGACATACCTGATCTGCTTCTCCCTCTTCCATCTGACTGGAACAAGCAGTAACACACAGAGGATCTCCAGAGGGAGTGATCCACCCTGGTGCAGCTGACAAGAGCTATGCTGTTTGTAGAGAATTCCAAAACAGTGATAAAACTGACTAAAAGTCATCACTTGTTTATTATCACCCAGAACTGACAATTCTAAACAATGTCAGGGATGAAATTCCCACCCTTGATAACCATGGGATACTAATACCTATTGCATAGTATACTTCATAATAGTAGAGGCTATGTAACATGGCACATAAAAAGCTGTAGAATGTAACTTTTAAGCAATGTATTTTTTTCAAATTAATGTGATGTGAGATTTGGAGAGAAAAGAGTGGTTCTGTTCTCTGTTATTTAGTTCACTTTTTTTTTTTTTTTTTTAAAGTACAGCTCTTAATCTGTAGGAAAAAGTACATGGTCACACTGAGTTAGTGATAGTGTCACTTTTCTTAGGTGATTTTCTTTGCCACAGAATTTTATAAAGACCAAATGAAAAATACCWTAATTGCTTTTGTGTAATATGGAAATTAAAATATTAATTTTGGTCAGGTAAAACCACAGAACTAATGACAGGGTCAATATGGATTTATTGGGTGATAAAGCCTGGTAAAATAAATAATTCAGTTTTTGTATGCTTAGAAAGAAAATACTATTACCTACCTCACAAAAGAGTCTACTCAATTCTTTGAAGGCATCACATTAAAAGAGAATATTTTAGTGCTTAAATCTATGACAACTATTAACAATCAAATATTTTTAACAGGCTCACAGATAAGAATTGTCTAGCAAGAGTGCCAAAGGTCTACRTTTATTTCTTCTTTATTTCTATGTGGTTGATAATGTGACTCATTCCATTGTAAAGATTCATTGATTAATTCCTTTCTTTTTTCTTTTTTTCAGGGACTGAACTCAGGGCCTTGCACATGCTAGGCAAGCACTCTGCCACAGAGCTAAAATCCCCATCCCCAATTAATTTCTACTATGTACTTGCACTTCAATAATTAATGGACAATTCCTTTTATAAAAGTCTTAAAGCAGCCAGACGGTAATTCAGTGGGTAGGAATGTACTAAGCATGCTTGAGGTCCTGGGTTCTGTACCCACCTTGGATTCCATACCTACCATGCACACACACATGCACATGTGTGGACACACACACACACACACACACACACACACACACATGCATCTTAAAGAGATAGTAAGTCTGATTACTAGTTAGTCTTAGCATCAGTTTATGACACTTAGTGGATGTAGGAGCCCAGTTTGCAGCTTAGACACATCCCAGCAGCAGCTAAAGTAACACCTACTCACAGAAGTTGACCACCCAGGCTGTTTATATTAAGTGTTGGATACCCCTTAATAACCCATATCCTTTATATGCTGCTTATAGAGAGGCCATTACTTTACTAAAACTAGAAGACTAAAAAAATTGTAAAGTTTATTGTTGAGAAGGCTACAATTACAAATTTTATTCAAAGAATCTCTAAAACAAAATCTTATAGCAATACCATAGAGTAATATTTAAGTAACTAAGATTCTATTTTACCTGATAATGACTAGAAAAGTTTCTGAATTTTTGGCACTTTGTATAGTAGACATAAGTGATATCTATACCAAAGTTCATTTGAAAATAGGGGATATGATAATTGTCTATTTCACTACAGTRTACTATTTTAGAAAGAAGGGATATTAGATGACATGTATTACTCAATAATGGTTAACATAATTTAGAGGAAACATTGATTACAGATAATAATTACTTTGGAAGGAAATCCCTTAAAATTCATGGAAGAGGTCACTTGAGAAGAAACCCATCCTTCAGTGGGTCGTCATCTTCTACAGTAAGGCTTGCTGCACCTGTGTAATGTGCTTGTCCTGATACTTCCACTATAACCGCTTTGAAGTCACCACATTTTGCTTCCTGAAAAAAAGATGGAAGGAACACCCTATCAAAATATTTCACTCATACTGTATCTGGCTTAAAAGTTGAACTCTTGATTTTTATCGTGTTAAAGGAAACCTAAGGGCTATGGAAAATTTTTAAGGAAAGTAACATGGTCTAATGTGTATTTTAGATATGTTTAGAGTAAAATGAAGGACAAGTTGAAGAGGAGAGAGACTAGAAGCCCAGAAACCTTTTAAGAAAGAACTTTGATTCACTGGTTTTAATCCAGAGGCACTAGGTAGTTTTTAGTAAAGATGGAGAAAGATAACATAATATAGAAATACTTTAGAGGTGGAAATGACTGGCCTGATGACAATGTAGAAAGAAATTAAAAATAAGGTAAACAAGACCATGGTTTCGTGCTTGGAAGTGAAACTAATGATGCCATTAGCTAAGATGGGGAATAAGAGAGGAGTATGTAAAGGAAGGATGGTAGCATGGACTTAAAAAATATAGTTGTAGATGGTCAGAATGCCTTTATTTTATTGGGGGCTAAGGATCGAACTCAGTGCCTCAAACATGCTAGGCAAGCGCTCTGCCACTGAATAACAGCCCTAGTCCATAGGATGGACTTTTTAACAAGTTGAGTTTGAAATACTTTGAGGACATTCATTCCTCATAGAGATGAGGATAGGGACCAGCAATAAAAGTGTTAGATCAGAAAGAGTTGCAGGACAGGCATGGTAGGGATGAAGGTTTAGGAGTCATCAGCAGCAGAGGGGTTGAGAACTGAATTCTAGAAAGTGAAAGAAAGTGTCTAGTGGCATTAAATTGTAGATGAGATGGAAGGAAGCTAAGAATAAAATGCTGGAGTCACTTAATTGGATGGACAGGGAGCAGAAGCTGGGGCAGGGAAAGAGACTGAGAAAGCACCATGAGAGAGCCTAGAAGAGCCCAGACAGAAAGGAAAGGCTTATAGTGCATGTGAAGATACTCTGGTAAGCCTGATTAATAACTGTAAAATAAATAACTGCAACTCTTATTGAAGTTGATTTTTACTTTCAAATCTTGTAAATAAGAACAACTAAGGTAAAGGTAAATGTCAAATATTAAAGTAGGGTACAGTAATTTTATTATTTTATTACAAAGCTGGTATAATATCAAGCACTGGTAAACTTGGCTTTGAGTGGTAGCAGTACAATGTAATAATTAACAGCATAGAGTCTGTTGAGAGAGACCCACATTCATAG